AATAAAAAGACACTACTCACCCACTAGAAGACAAAAGGGGAGGGGAGTTTGATCTGGACCCAGTAGCTGTTATCTTGACAGGGTCAAAAGACCTGGGCTTGATGGGAGGTCAGGTATATATTCTATCCAATGGTTCCTTAGGGAAGTCTGAACGAACGGCGCCCTACCTTTTATTTTGTTTTGACAGGGTAAAGCAAACATGGGTTGGAAGGGTGGGAGCAGCCTAGTGGGAAGCAGAAAGCGAAGCCTCCGTACCTACATGGTCGTGAAATATCCGACAGGAAATATGAGGTTTGACCCTCCATTTGCTCTGCTTCCTGATGATCTCTTTTTCCTTGATGGATTGCAAGACGATGGATCGGCCACATGCAGTTATTCACCTTCGATTGGACGGGGTTACCAAACAACCGAATCGCAAAAATAACATGTTGGTACGGACGAGATAGCGAGTGATATCACACGGAACTTCTGTCCCAGCACGGAGGGCAGAGGTCTTGTCTATCCTCTGAAGTATTGACCCAATGAACTGGCAGTTCGAATAAATGACCTCCAGTGCAATTGCTTTTGCCGCAGGTTCGTTGTGCCATTGGTTGAAATAAAAAGAAAAGCCAAAGAGAGTGAGAGCGAGAGGAATGGGAAATGAAAAGAAAAAGCAAAGAAGGAGAGAATAACTAAGAAAAAGAAAGGAAAGAAACAAAGATGAACCGGATTTGAATGGTATTACATTCAAACAGAGGTTACCCGCTGACGGAGGAGTGCTGTCGACCCGGCGGGCGAAGGAAGTTGAGACTTCCGAGTCCATCAGCGGCGGTGGGACATCAGCCCATCAAACGGTCTGGAAAGAGTTTTTCAGGTCGAAAGAGTCCAGTGGTTTCAATGTCTTCAGTGTTGGCATCTAGATATGGAGGGCCTCCCACCGCGATCTAGAATAGGTTGCTTGATGGAGTGGACATTTTTTTCGGAGACTTCGCGCAAAGATCTTCCACCACTGGGAAGAAGCGCCTTCTGAGCAGGGATCAGGGATCATATGAAGTGAAAAAAGGGTTTAGTGAGATCTCCCTTACATATTACTACGCCTATTTTCTCCACTCACACGCAGCACCACACAACCACGGACAAGTGACGAGCAAGTTAAGCAACCTAGGGGGAGCCAACTTCGTGCTGTGCATGTCTATCTCTGCAGCATGCTTTGTCATGCGCTTGGGGTTCATTTTTAGTTAACTCGGACGTGGGAGCCTGCATTGCGGCGTGCCCCAGTGTTGCGCCTTCAGAAACAGCCAAGAGAAGTGAGGCTTGACGAGTCGAACGGGTTGTACAGGGGTAATCTGCCTGATGGCCAAATGCCTATTCTTCAAAGCTATGCCATCTCGTCTTCTCATCCGGAGCGCGTCAATTTACAGCTAATAACTATACCTTTAGGTTTTGCATTATGCATGGAGTTACGAGAGCACAGCAGCGCTCTCACGTTTTGCTCTCCTTCCACCTCCCCCCCCCCCCCCCCCCCTTTTCCTGAAAATTATCCCAAATGGGTAATGGCATAGTCAAAAGCCCATCAAGGGAAAACGAAATAAACATGAATATTGATAGAAAAGATCTATTTCAAAGATAGCAGGAATAAGAAAATAATTAAACGGCTTAAGTACTGCCTCAAAATCGCAGAGTGGGACTGCGGATACGCAGGAGATAGATCTTTTCTAAACTTATTAAACATCCAGACTACTAAAAATCA